TTTTCAAAGAGCACAAACACAAAAAGTGGAACAGAATGACTCAATATATGTGAAAATGGGCAACATACAAAAAGAATTCTTATCCTAGCATGGGTGAGCCTTCAAACAGTAATTAAGCAATGGCATAACCACTGCCTGGCCTGCACTATAACAGAATCCCAAAATAAGGGTTAGTCATACACGTTCATGATTACAAAATCAGTGCACCAGAAAATGCTGGACTCTTGCAGCTACACTCGATACATTTTACAGATCCATTCTAGATCTTTCTTCCAAAGCTTAGTATTCCTTCCTTTATTTCTCACTCTTTCATCCTCTGACTAAATCCTTAGTCATGCAAATGTGTCACAGGGAGTAGAACCAATGCAGACGGTCCCTAAGGGGCAGCTTTGTGCCGCCCCCGCGAGCGCTAGATCAGGGCCACACCAACCACACGCTGCTGCTCCAATCCTCCTTTTTGTCACTCCAAAAAGAGTTGGCAAATGCTGTTCCTTTTGGAGTGGCAAAAAGCCACCCTTAGTGCCACAGCAGCGGCTCTTTTGCACCCATTTGGCGCAGCATGTGTGCACATTCCGCCAATGGGTAGCCCTGACACTGCACACCATGAGGTTGGGTGTGCGGCATCAGGGTGGAATTGGGGCGGCTGGTGTGTGGTCGCCCCAATCCAATTCCACCCCCACGCTGGCCCTTTAAGCCAGTCTGCATCAGCCCTAAGTGAAGTAAGTAACAAGACTTTTCTCTCTTACACAGGTGGTCAGGCCTATACAAAGAAAAAAATTCCACAGCCTCATTTGTGTTAATATGTATTAATAACAATGTATTAATAACAATGAGCAATTAGGTCTGCTTACTGATATCATATTGTACTTCTAGCTTGCATATGTTGATGTGTCATACATAGCACTGTATATAATCATGCATGTGATAAATCAGAAATAATAATTTACAGCTTCAGTCACATCAGAGTTAAATCCAAATAGCTGCCCATAAAACCTGATCTCAGTATTAACTGGAATAAAATGTACTGGTGTAAAAAAAAAACAGTTTAACTGTGATCTGCACTGAACCAACATAGGGTAGTCTGCAGATTAAAGTCATGATTTTGTCCTCCCTTGTCCTCAATGGCAGTAGAGTGTTATATTTATGCCTGACTAGAAGCAAACCATTCTCATTTTTGCAACATAAAGATGCCTGTTGAGTATGCTGCCATCCATATGAAAGCTGTCAGCTACTAAAGATAAAGAGGGACTCTGTTGGACAATATGATTAAGGCACAGTCTACACAAACAGCAGGTGACAACAGAAAACAGTTTCTGGTCTGTGTCACTTCAGCACAGCAGTTAGGGGGTTGTAAATTTGAAAGGTGAAACTCCTTCCTACACTGAGAGCCATGAAGCTGATGGGTTACAATGGGTCAGATTGAAATCTTAGATACATTTAGCTGAGAGGCCCACCTGAATTCAGTGCAACATACTTATGAGTAGACATACATAGCATTGTGCTGTTAATCGCCATCTTTCAGGCTCACCTACCTCATGTTTCTGTAAGATTAATTCCAGTTTGGAGGGTGGGAAAGAGAAAAAAGAAAAAGAGGATGGAAGACTGCATGCCAGGGAGAAAACTGTATTTGACTTTGAATTTTCAGTGCACTATGAATTTTGGGAACCATCTAAACATGCATTCTCCAGTTTTAGTGGACATACTGTGATTGAGGTAAGTTTTACATGTGATCTGCTGTCTACCAAAAAAAATTCATGCAAGTTTCTATCTCATACTCCACACCTTCAGGAGGAAGCCAGAATGCAATTTACTATTATCTTTACTACTACACTTCAATGATTTTCCCACAGACTCACGCACTGAGTGCTTAATGCCATACAGGTTGAGGGAACATGGGCATTTACTTAAAAAAAAATCATCATCCTCCCCCCCCCCCATTTTTAAAAGGTCATATTAGTAGAGCAACAACAGTGTGCCTGGCAACAACTTTGCTGACCAAACTTTTAGACATAAATTATTCTTCAGATGCTTTCCTACATTTAAAATTTATCAGGTACCTTTCCAAAATTCTTTACCCATGGCAATGTATAATAAATAACCAATGAAAATAATGACACAGTAAAACCACAATAAATCATGTTCTCATTCTCCCCACACACACACACACACACACATACACACACTTATTTGAGTGGAGAGGAACATTAAAACACATTTTAAGGTGATGATACCCATCCCAATGAACAAAATCGTCATCTGTTGCTAAAATATCTGTATAGCAGATATGAGCTTCTCAGAAATACTATGGATCAGGTGCCATGATGAAAAGTCCTTGTCATCATTATCTTAATGTCTCATTAAGATACCAAACCAAAGACTTGCCTGAAGATTTTAGCAAGTGCTGTCTTTTACACAGGGAAAGAGTAGAGGATCATTTTGGCTGGGAGTTAATTTATTTCTTGAAACAGTGAGGACAATGAAACATGGCAGAGCCAAAGCAAAGTGGATGGAAATTTTCACCAAATCCTTCTTCCCTTTGCAACACTTCAGCACCACTTCCTATTCTGTTGTGCAGGGATAGCACAGACTGAAAGGGTAAAAGGAGGAATTAGAGAACATTGCCTTGGTCTGATTCTGATGCAGAGAACTGTCTATGACCAAAGCAGCTGTGGGCCTTTCATGCAGTCCACCCATTTGAACTCTGGCATGGTACAGTACCTTCTTCATCAGCAGAATGGTTAACCATGCTTGTGGAAGCACAAAATAACTATTCTGAGAGTTAACATAGCTACCAAAGAAAAATATTCTAGTACAGTTTGTTCAAAAGATGTGGTGTTTAAACATGTTTGCAAAATCTATAGACAACCACTATGTTGTCCTCTCCCATATTTATTCCTTAGCAGAGATGAAAGATTGTTGAATTTTCACAAATGTGTTCACAAAACAACAGGTTTCCCCCCACCCACCCTTCAAGTTCAAAGAACATTTCTACAAAATTAGGAAGGATGTTATTATGGCAAATGGAAATAATGTTACAGAGTTAAGTAAGATTCACAAAAAAATTAACCCACTCTGAATTTAAAATTGATGTGCAATATGAAAAAAGGGGAGGGTGAGTGCAGCAATAATATCTCTTCAAAACTAGTAGAAAGTAATAATGCAGTTTTCAGATATCTTTCTAGTAACTTGAAACTTTTGCTGAAGAAATAAATTGTTAGATGTAGTTGTGCTAAAGTGCTAGTTCTGTCAAAGTCTAGCTCCTGATTGATATCAAGGAAATGATTAATAAAACTGTTATGTCTTTATGCATTACTTGCCATCCTGCAAAGTCAATGGATCTGTCCACATAAGTGATTTTTCCAGTGTGAACTGACAAATGGCATTCTAAAGAATATCAAGAATGCTTGGAGGTGGCATAGCACACACTGTCAGTGAGCAATGCTGAAATGAAGAACTGAAAGGGAAGGAAAAAAGGACCCTTTTCTCCAAGGACTATTTTCCAGGAACTGGCAACAGGCACTAGCAAACTGATGAATGCACTTCCAGGGAGAACAGTCCCCAATTCAGAATACAGGCTGGAGGTTTGCAATAGAGTCCATTGCAATCTAGACTTAAGGGTCTTTCAAGCACTGGAAGAACACTGCATTGTGACAAAATACGAAGCTTCAGGTCAAGTGAAGTGTGTTTCTGCAGAGCTGTGTGTCACCTGTCAAGTTATGGCAACCCTATGAATTTCATAGGCGTTTCTTAGGCAAGGAATACTCAAGAGGTGGTTTTGCCATTTCCTTCCTCTGAAATATGGCCTACAGCACCTGGCATTCATTGGCGACTCCCCATCCAAGCACTAACCAGGGCTGACTCTACCTAGCTTCCATGAACAGATGGGATCTGGTGCCTTTAGAGTATTTATGCCACTTTATTGTTGTTGTTGTGTACCTTCAAGTGGCTTCTGACTTATGGCAATCCTAACACGAACCTAACGTGAACCTATCATGGGGTTTTGTTGGCAAAGTCGTTCAGAGGGGGTTTGCCATTGACATCCTTTGAGGCTGAGAGAGTGTGACTTGCCCAAGGTCACTCAGTGGGTTTCCATGGCTAAGCTGGAATCCGAACCTCGGTCTCTAGAGTCCTAGTCCAATGCTCAAACCACTACGCCACACTGGCTCTAGTATTCTGATAATCACAAGGGGAAAAAAAGAAGTGAACGAGGTAGGCTTTAAGCAGTTGTACAAAGTTTTATAATACATGATTTATTTTTTATGTTTAAATGTTCCACTCTTCATCAAACCAAGCATCTTGGTACACACATGCATGGGCTTTTGAATCCTTCTTCCAAACATACCTTTACTTGGCTTCCATCAGGATGCCAGCTACAGCTATACAGCCCTAGATAGTTATAGCAGTACGAGTCCACTATAACTGCAACAGCTGCATCCTATGGAATTCTGGGGTACATAGCTTGGTGAGGTACTAGAGCACTCCGGCAGAGAATTCTAAGTAGAGCTCTCTAAAATGCAAATCCCAGGATTTCATGGGATACTGCCATGGGAGTTAATGTAGAATCATAGTGCTGTGGCTCTGTAGACTAACGACTCCTATTCTCATAACAATCATGTTAATGAAAGGAAATGCATAGATATCAGTTTAAGATTCCTCCCTATCAGATGACTCTTAAATAACACAACCAGGCTGTTGCTAGTCCCACATGTTCTCTTGCACTCTTGTCCTTAATCCCACCTTCTTACCCTGTGCCCTACACAGTGTGCCTTTGTTCTTGTTTTTTAATGCAATTCCAGAGTTCTCTTAATGTGAGTTAACAAAAAGTTTAAAAAGAACATTAAAAAACCCAGGCTATACTATAATAGTGAGGGGGGGGGGATGAAACACTGATACCATGTAACTGCCCAACCTCAGGACTACCATGGGAGTAACTTATTGCACCTGATGACTAATGCTATACCAGTGTGTTTGGGAGCTTATTGATGGGTTTTCCCCATCAATACCAAGGTGAACTCTAACAATGCTTCAAGGACAAGACAGTGATGAAATGGAGATAACAACATGTGATAGGTATCACAAAAGATGCTGTTTTCCAACTTTTGTGGCAATATAAAAGCTGCATGTGGATCTGAAAAGGATCCAGAACTGCACTTTGAAATGGAAGATGTGCACAGGGGACAGAAGGGTTTTTAAAAACCTTTTCTCTACACACTGTCTTCCAGCTAAAATCCCTCCAGGTTAAAATAGACTAAACTGTTAGGATCACTCCTTTTGTTGCCCAGTTGCTTCAAATGTTCAAAAGAAACTAGCAATAATGATTCAGGGATAGCTGTGTTGGCCATTTAGCAAATTCAAACAAAAATTCATCAGTGATATGCATATTGTGCAGTTTGGTTGGCCAATAAAGGTATCACTGGTAGATTTTTGTTAGCGATGATGATGATGATGATGACAATGATGATAAACAATACCAATAATAATGTCTAAAATAGTATATAAGAACTCATATTTTTTCCTGAATTATATTTGCTAGTGCCAGAGAGTATTAGAGGAACCAAAGTACATTTATTTTTGTCAGTAGGCCAGAAAGCATGTTGGAAGGCATAATTTTCTAGCAAAAGCATTTAACTTGACATTTGGAAGTGATTTCAAAACAACAGTTAAAATGCAGTGTGTGTCTGTGTCTGTGTGTTCATGTGTATATCCTAGAGAAATATTTTCTGCTTATAGACTTGAGAGAGAATAGCTCAGAATACTCTGAACAACTGCAGCACCACCCTATATATACATGCAGAAATGCTGAGTAGTTCCGAAGGGATTTGTGGCTGCTAGAAAACAGGTTATGATGATGCATGGGCTCTTGAGGGAGGAGAAAAAGGTTAAGTAGTCAGATTCTCACAGTGTCAAAGAGGATAGTCTCAAAGGCAAAAGAAATATCTGAGGGACAGAAAGGATTTTCATTTTCTTGCTGTCTGAGCCTTTAAAAGATTTCTCATCCAATTTAGCTATGATGTTCTGCTTAGGTTACATGAACTTCCTCTTTTTGGTTTCATTTGTTCCAGGCAATGCGGTAAGAAGCTGGGTAAAACACGTTTAGAACCTGCATTTGTTATCCCAAATATTTTCTTGGCTATTTTTCACCGCTTGCAAAGTCCTCTTAATCAGAAGGAGGAAGAGAAAGAGGAAGACAGAGCAGTTTAAATGTAAAAGCAAAAATGGGAAACACAAACACTAATAAAAGAAAGCTCTAAAAATCAGTCTGATCCAGCAAGAAGTGAATTAGCACAGACCATGCACCCTTAATTAAAACAAAGTTTCAAATGTCTCTCTGTTCGTTGTCACAGGTATCCAAAGGCCTGGATGAAGAAGAGTGTATAATAAACCAGTAAAACTGAACAACACCTGATGCACCCCACAGGCAAGAAAGAAGGTGAATACTGGCAAAGGCACCATAAAGAGAGCAACACAATTGACAATGCCCTCATTTAGTCTCCATTCCCCAGATGGAATCTTTACCATCTATGAAGTTTTAATTATTCACAATGAGGAACCGTTAAGGGACATTTAGACAAATCTACTGTCCTCAGACAAGGAAACAAAAATTGTATCCAAACATCTTAATTCTTTTCACAGCTGACTTTAGACATTTACATCCCCCAAAGCAGGTCTTCAGCTTACCAGCTGACCAATAACTTGTCAAATCTGGCTGCAACATTATGTTTTCCGATTCTGAATTCAATATTACAACCCTAACTATATATAGAACCAATCTGGTATATTTTATGTTGCAGCTCTAAGACCACCATTGACAGCAAGTTAAATGAGACTGAGCTGCTTTATCCCTGCTAGAGGCCATTGTTGTACCCACCATACATTTTAGCTTCTTCGAAAACAACGAAAAATTGTATAAAGCAACTCCTGTGGCTGTATAAGATTCTTGCTTTGTATAATCCAAGTAAGAAATATGAAGCATATTCTATATACCTAGAACAGGAAAGGGATCAGTATACCCTATCACATTTGGTGGAGGTGGCTTTTGAATTCCCATCAAATTCTGACTGAAAAAATCCGGATTCAGATGTATATACTCATTCCTCCACATTTGCAGCTTTGACTTTTGCAGCTTTGATTATTCACGGATTTAGCAAAAGTTGCACTGAAGAACCGAGAGATTCCTAGAAAGAACACTCCACTGGGCATTTGTAGCTCCTCCAGTGCAATTTTATGGTCAATGTCTAGTAGATGTTGATCACAGAGTTGCACTGGAGGACCTAGAGATTCCTAGAGAGCTTCTTTTCTCATGTCAAAACATAGTGTTTATGTTATTTGCGGGGGTTTTCATATTCACAGGAGTCCTGTGCCCCTAACCCCAGCAAATGCAGAGGGATGCATGTAATTGTATTCAGTTATTTTGAAGACTTTTTTCTGTAATTACCGTATTTTCCGGCATATAAGACGACCCCCCATTTTTCCAGTCAAAATATAGAGTTTTAGCACCTCTATCCTCCTTATCCTTATACCCGGCGTATAAGATGACCCTCCCACTGTAACCACAGATTTTGCAGGTTTAAAAGTAGTCTTATACGCAGGAAAATAAGGTATTCAATTAAATATAATGTACTGTTTTTAAACTCTTTCCATCTGCAAAAAAAGAAAAAAGAAAAAAAGAATTCTGTAGTCAAACAAGAATATCTTCTAAAATGTGAGGAAATAAGCAAAAAGGAGAAAGGGGTGAAAAGGAAGGCAGGGTAACTGAAAACAGAGGATTTCAACAGAAATATTTGACTTCTTCATTTCCCTCCCACTATATCTGTGTGCTCATTTATGTTTCTGGAAATGTGAGACATAAGCTGATCTGAGATGAAATCATATAGAGACTGGAGCAGGGAGTAAAAGATGTAATAAAGAGTTGAATAGCAACAAGCAAATGAGGAGGGATTACATGAACTATTTATATGAAATGAAACCAGATATTTATTTTGTATGCTCTTAGTACAGAAGATGTATGAACTGATTTCACTTCCACAGAAAGGAGCAGCACATTGCTTTTTAGAAAAAGGGTAAGGGAGTGTCATGATTACAAACAATGGGTGAAAGAAGGGTATTTGACCTTTTTTTTGAGTTTTACACCAAAAGCACAGACATTATCCTGTAGAAGTGCTTTGCATGTGTTTAATGCTATATTTTCTGTAGGGAATACTTTGAGTGGTTGAAAAAGAAAAACTCTGCATTTCACCAGTCCTGCTGGACTTCAGAACTGGTCTACAATCCTGACAGAACAAACAAGCAGAGATTTTCAGGATAATAAAATGTCTTGAGTGAAATTAATTCTTCACAATCACTAGAAATTCTGCTCTGGTTCTACTCAAATAAACAGCAAGGTTTGCTGGTTGCTACTCCAAAGGGCCACTGAATAAAGTGTGTCAGAATCTGAACCAATAAATTGGAATATGTGACACTTAGCATGCCCTAGAGGGTTTTCTTGTTTTGTTTTCTTTTGTTTTTGGATTTGGGTTCTTTTGCATATTATTTCATTTCACAGTTACCACAATATTTTTAACCAGGGGCAAATACCTCAGGCTTTTTAGATGCCATTTGTCTGAAACTTCTACGAAAGGAGATCTATAAATGACCTCTGCCTGCATAAGATGTCACCTGCTATGTCTTGAGTGCATTTTTTAAGAGAAAGACACTGCTGAACTGTACTACTGAACTGAAATGTATATGTCCCAAGTATGCCAGAGGCACAAATGTGTTCCATTTAAACAAGTGCAGGGAATCTTTGGCCCACCCCAGATGTACTGTTCTCTCATAATTCCCTACCATTGGACTGAAACGTCTAGGAAATGAAGTCCAATTCAGTTGGAAGACCAACATTTTCTGCATCCTTTGTTAAAAGATCAAGGAGATCGGAATGTGCAAGTGAGGAAACAATTGATCACTTTTAGAAACTCCTGTGGGACATTGCTTGGCAGATAAAACTGTATATAAATGTGTATATGATGACACTGTGCTTTGTCATTATCATATAGTAAAAATATTAATTCTGAAATACTAACAATTCTGGAGGTGCTTTATCAGTCAAGTAGCAATGATATCACTTAGGTAGCTTTGTTTACTATTAACGGATTTAATTTTTGTCCCACATTCTCCTCCCTGGGATT